TTCTCTGTGTAGCTTTGCGCCTTTCCTGGAACTCACTTGGTAGCCCAGGCTGGCCTCGAACTCACAGAGATCCACCTGCCTCTGCCTCCCGAGCGCTGGGATTAAAGGCATGCGCCACCACCGCCTGGCGACATCCAGCCTCTTGGACTGAGCAGCTGCTGGATTCTTGGACCTTCTGTTAGTACACAGCCATTGTTGGATTAACTGGACCACAGCCTATAAGCCACTCTAGTGTGTGTGTGTGTGTGTGTGTGTGTGTGTGTGTGTGTGTGTGTGTGTGTGTGTGTGCGTGCGCGCATGGATTTCATTCATTCTATAAGTTCTATTCCTCTAGAGAACCCTGGCTAGTACAGATTTTGGTTTCAGACTCTTCTGATACTTCTAGAGCAACAGAAGTATAAGGATGAATTTTTAAAGTATCTGAAGTAAGCCTTTCAATTTGCCAACACCTACAATTCCTGAAGCTTCTTCAGTTACTGACACCTCTCCTAGGAACTTGGAGCGTACTGAAAGCCCATGGTGGGAACAATTTTACAGAAGTAAGGTGATAAATGCACTTGATTAACCTGAGTCACCAACTGTGATTTGGTAACTCTGTATATAAAGCTTCTGACAGTTTGTGGGGAAAATAAGGGCAATGATGCTGCTGGCTGGTTGCTCCTAGTATCTCTGGGTAAATTGACAAAGAATGAGCTCCATGATAAATTAACTAACTTCTAGCATCTCAGAATGTGGTGGAGGACAACGGTGAACTCAGTGACACAAATGGCCCGTTCCAGATGTACAGAAACATTACAAAGGTTTCTAAGTGTGCCCTGGAAGAGCATCTTCTCTGCGGCAGCCACAGAGCTCAAGTTGCAGAGAATCAAACCAACGCATTCAGTATAAGGTTGGCTGAATTACAGGGAAAATTCAAGTCCCAGTCTCTTTTGGCAGTTCAAGGACATTAATTGGTAAAGAATGGGATCCTGTAACGGGATGGAGATCTATGGGAGAACTCTATTAAGACTGAGAATTTTGAGGCCTCAGATTCTCAAGGGTTTATCTCGCCTGAGAAAGAAGTCTCTCTATCCTCAGCAGAAGATGTGTTCACACTCCAACCCCCTGAAATGTTGCCTTTTTCTGCCTTTGACTGAGGAAATCAATCTGTCATGGTCTGCTAAACCAGCAGTGACTTTCTCTGAAGGAGATGCCAGGCAAGAGAATTCCGATGTCCCTCAAGGCCCACCAGTAGTTATCTCTAGACCTATAACCAGACTTAAGGCAAAGCAGGCTCCTAGAGGGGAGGTAGAAGGTGTAGTCCATAAGGAAATTGTGCTACACTACTAAAGAGCTTTGCTCTTTAATGAGTTTGCTAATTCATTCAAGCAGAAATCTGGGGGAAAATGGATTTTGAGGGTGTGGGATGATAGAGGAAAGAACATAAAACTGTATCAGGCTGAATTTATTGATATAGACACACTGAATGGAGATATTAGGTTTAATATGGAAGCTTGCACAGCTTTTTAAAAAGTGTCGGGCTGGAGAGATGGCTCAGAGGTTAAGAGCACTGACTGCTCTTCCAGAGGTCCTGAGTTCAATTCCCAGCAACCACATGGTGGCTCACAACCATCTGTAATGAGATCTGGCACCCTCCTCTGTATACATAATAAATAAATCTTTAAAAAAAAAAAGTGTCAAAAGTTTGTGTAAATGGTTGGCTAAAGCATTTGTCAAAAGATGAGGTACTGAAAAGGAGTTGGAGATGCCTAATATACCTTAGCGTAGTGTTGATGAAAGGATTTTAAGGTTCAGGGAAATATCAAAGCTAGAGTGGGTGTGCTGTGTAGAACTTAACCCTCTACTATGGGAGGCCCAGAAAACATTGTCCTTCAGTAATCCTCTAAGATGCAAAATGGTGAGGGGGACATTAGCACCTTTGAAGAGCTCTGTCATTGTCATTGGCCTTCTGCCAGACTTTAGGGTTGGAGATGCTGCTGCTCAGCTGGATGAATTGAATGCAGTAGGATTAACTGGGCTCTGAAGTAGTGGGGGTCATATGGCAGTACTGACTTGCCAAAGACAAGGCAATCGTAGTTATTGTAATGGGCAGCGCAGATAAAGCAGTGTCTATAATGGCCTGACCCATAATGGGCTCACAGCCACATCGAATTTGATGGTGGCATGACTTAGAAGGACCTTTGGTACTGGCTAATCTATCATGGTGTTCCCAGGCATGAAATAGATAAGAAGCCTACTGAATTGTTTGATCTGTATAAGTGGAAAAATTCTTAAGCAAATAAAGGCTCCACTGGGTCATGGCCTGTGGAATCTGGGCCTGTGAACCAATTTCCAGATTTGAGCCAGTTTGCAGACCCAGAACCCCTTGAATGAAGGGATGGCCAGGTTTCCCTGAGGAATGATCTTGATCAAATACCTACGAGTTTTCTTGTTAGTCTTTCTCTAGTCCTCCTCCCTCGCAGAGGGGCCTGTGGGCTTTTATAAGGGTTACTCTATTGGGGGAAAGGAAACAATTAGACTCTCTGGGGTCTATTGGATGCTCGTTCAGAATTGACACTGATTCTGGGAGACCCCTAGAAACACTGTGGCCCTCCTGTTAAAGTGGGGGCTCATGGGGGTCAGTTGGTCAGTGGAGTTTTGACTGATGTCCAACTTACAGTAGGTCCAGGGGGTCCCCGAATTCATCCTGTGTTTATTTCCCGAGTCTCAGAATGTATGATTGGGATAGGCATACTTAGAAGTTGGCGGAACTTTTATATTGTTTTCATGACCTGTGACAGTATCACCTCCCTGGAGGAATTGCAGGAATTAGTGTTACCATCAGAGACTTGAAAGGACTTGTGTTTCCACCCCATCTCCCTTTAACTCATCTGGCCACTGCAGAAGACAGGTGGTGGATCCTGGAGAACTGACAGTTGATTATTGAAAATTCAGTCAAGTTGTGACTCCAATCAAGCTACTCTGCCAGATGTGGTATCCTTACTTGAGCAGATTAATGCATCTCCTGGTACATAGCATGTAGCTAGTGATCGACCAAATGCCTTTTTCTTGCTACCTCTCCATAAGGATCGTCAGACAATTTTTCGGTTGGCAAGACCAGCAATACCTTTACAGTTTAACTAGTTTGAAGGGATCTTAATAATCTGTTTCTTCCACAAAATACCACATTGGTGCACTATATTGACAACAGTATGCTGATTTGGACCAAGGGAGCAGGACGTAGCAACTACTTTGGACTTGGTGGTAACACATGTACATCAGAGGATGGGAAATAAATCCAGCCCAAATTCAAGGGCCTGCCACCTCAGTGAAATTCTTAGGAGTCCAGTAGCATGGGGCCTCTAAGGTGAAGGATACGTTGTGGCCCCTCCCACCACCAAGCAAGCAGCACACTGTTTACTGGGCCTGTTTGGATTCTGGAGACAGCACTTTCTTCATTGAGCTGTGCTACTCCAGCCCATATACCAAGTGACTCAGAAGGCTGCTAGCTTTGTGTGCGGCCTGGAACAGGAGAAGGCTCCTCAACAGCTCCAGGCTGTTGGGCAGGCTGCCCTACCACTTGGTCCAGATGATCCAGAAGAGCCGATGGTACCTGAGCTGTCAGTGGCAAATAGGGATGCTGTTGGGAGCCTTTGCCAGGTCCTTTATTAGGTGAGACATAGAGGAAAACTTTGGGATTTTGGAGCAAGGTTCTACCATCATCCACAGACAGCTGTTCTCCCTTTGAAAGAGAGCTTTGGCCCTGCTGTTGGGCCTCAGTGGAAACTGAACATTTGACAATGGGTCACCAAGTTACTATGCAACCCTAGCTGTCCTTCATGAGGTGGCTGTTATCTGACCCATCAAGCCATAAAGCAGGATGTACACAGCAGAAATCCATATCAAATGGAAGTGATAGATACGTGATCAGGCCCTAGCAGGTCTTGAAGGCACAAACAAGTTTCATTAAGAAGTTACCCAAGTCCCTGTGGTTTCTAATCCCATTAAATTGCCGTATGCTGCCTAGCATGCACCTAATCCTCAGTTAATTGAGGAAGTGAAGACTAGGACTTGGTTTGCTAATGACTCTGAATGTTATGCAGGCACCATCCAGAAGTGGGCAGCTGTAGCATTTCAACTCCTTTTGGGGAAAGGTACCAGCAAAGAAAAATCTTCACAGTAGGCAGAACTTTGGGCAGTGTACCTGGCCATACATTTTTTTTTTGAAAGAGAAATGGCCAGATGTGTGATTGTTCACTGATTCATGGCTGTAGTCACTGGATTGGCTGGATGGTCAGGGACTTGGAAATAGCCTGATTGGAAAATGGGTGAGAAAGACATGTGGGGAAGAGTGATAGATCTCTCCAAATAGACAAAGGATGCAAAGATACTTGTGTCTCATGTAAATGTTCATCAGAAGGTGACTTCAGCTGAGGAAGAGTTCAATAATCAAATAGGATGGCCCATTCTGTAGATAGTCAGCCTCTTTCCCAGCCATCCCTGTCATTGACCAGTGGGTACGTGAACAAAGTGACCATGGCAGCGGCGATGGAAGGTGTGCATGGGGTTCGACAACATGGACTTCTACTCACCAAGGCTGACCTGGCTACCGCTGCTGCTGTGTGCCAGATCTGCCACGAGCAGAGACCCACACTGACCCAACCTGGCATCATTCCCTGGGGTGATCAGCCAGGTATCTGGTGGCAGGTTGACTACATTGGATAACTTCCTCCATGGAAAGGACAATGTTTTGTCCTTGCTGGAGTAGATACTTATTCTGGTTATGGATTTTCCTTTTCTCCATGTACTGCTTCTGCCTAAACCACCATCCATGGACTTGCAGAATGCCTTACCCACCATCATGGTATTTCACACAGTATTGCTTCTGATCAAGGAACTTCCTTCACAGCCAGATAAGTGTGACAGTGGGCCCACAATCATGGAATTCACTGGTCTTACCATATCCCCCACTGTCCTGAAGCAGCTGGCCCGATAGAAAGATGGAATGGCCTTTCGAAGACCAGACAGCTACAGCACCAATGGCAGCAGCCTGGAGGGCTGGGTAGGGTTCTCCAGAAGGGAGAATCAGCATCGAGTATGTGGAATGGGTTCTCCTCTAGCTAGAAGTCATGGGTCCAGGAATCAAAGGGTGGATAGAGGAATGGTTCCACGTACTGTCACCCCTAGTGACCCACTAGGAACATTTTTTGCTTTCTGCTCCCATGACCTTAAGTTCTTCTGGCCTAAAAGTTTTGGTTCCAGAAGGGGGAGCATTTCTGCCAGGAAATACAACAAACATTCCACTGAACTGGAAACTCAGACCTCCCCACCCCCTCACCCCTCCACCCCCACCCCACCCTCCAACCCCTGGCCACTATGGGCTTCTGATGCTAATAGGCTGAGAAAGGCATAGCAGTATCGGGAAGAGTGATTGATCCAGATTACCATGAGGAAATTGGATTGCTTCTCTACAATGGAGGTAAGAAAAATTCTGCCTGAAGTGTAGGGGATCCTTTGGGGCATCTCTTGGTGCTACCATGTCCTGTGATTAAAGTCAATGTGAAACTCCATCCTAATCTAGCCAGGATGAAAAGGGTACAGACCCATCAGAAATGAAGGTATGGAATATAATTGACATGAGTGTTTCTGTAATATTTTGTTAAGAATGTGTTTATATAAGTATTTGTGTTTTCTTTTCTCAATTTCTTTATCATGTAATGTAATATCAGTTAAGAGAATATCAGTGGTTATAATATTTAAGTTTGAGATACTAAAAAAATGTCCTTCAAGGGATATTGCCACTTATTCTATAATGCATTTGCAGTTGTATGAGGGATAATTATATCACATATGTAATTATGACCTGGTTAAATATTGAATGTGTTTGTAATTGTACATGGGATAGTTATATCAGCTTGAGTGTAATTATAACCTGGTTATTGTTTTCATTTGGGAATTAAGGATGACATAAGGAGATATGATTGTGTGTTAAGTTGAGTAGGGGTGGAATTGTGGTGACTATTCTTGGTAGTCAATTTGACTACATCTGGAATTAACTAAAACCCAAGCAGCTGAATACACCTCTGAGGGATTTTTTCTTAAATCCTTTGAAGTGGGAAGGCCTACTTTTAATCTGGGCCAAATCACCTGGTGGCAGCCTGTATAGGGACATGGAGGAAGAAAGCTTTGCTCTTTGCCTGATAGAAAGCAGCTGTCCTGATAGAAAGATGGAATGGCCTTTCGAAGACACAGCTACAGTGCCATTTAGGTGTTAGCAACCTAGAGGGCTGGGGTAGGGTTCTCCCCAAAACCCCCTACCCCCCGTAGCTGGCAAGCCCATTCCTTCACTAGAATTAGAGCCTGCTTTTTCAGGATTCTGGTGTAAACTGAGACAACCAGCTTCATGGACTGAACAACTACTGGATTCTCTTGGTAGACTTCCATATAAATTCTATTCCTCTAGAGAACCCTGACTGATATAGTCTCTCTGTTCTTGTTTAGTCTGGTCCCTTAGAGGCTGTGCAGCCCAGAACACTGGGCCTCCCCGTAATTCTTCACAGCCTGTGATGGTTAGTACTGGTCATCAACTTGACAGGGTCTAGAGTCACCTAGGAAACAAACATCTGGGTCTATCTGTGAGAGAGTTACTAGCCCGGGTTGAGGTGGCTGGGGTCCCAGACTGATAAAAAGGAGGAAGCAGGCTGAGCACAGCTTTCACCTCCGTCTGCTTCCTGACTGCTGACCTGTGTGGCCTGCTTCTGTGTGACACATGTTCCTGTCACCATCACTTCCCGGCGGACTGCATCCTGAAACGGTGAAGGCAGAGCCAACCTTTGCTTTGGTTTTCAGTAGCAGGAGTTTGGTCTCAGCACTGAGAAAAGTATGCACTTGAATCTGGCAACTTGGTAACAGGTTTATTAAACCCTAGAGTGTTTTCTTTTCTGTTAGTATATACTTAGTGATAAGGATTTTTTTTTTTTTCAGGCTGGAGAGATGGCTCAGTGGTTAAGAGCACTGGCTGCTCTTCCAGAGGTCCTGAGTTCAATTCCTAGCAACCACATGGTGGCTCTCAACCATCCATAATGAGATCTCTTCCGGCCTGCAGGCAGAACACTGTGTACATAATAAATAAATAAATCTTTCAAAAAAATTCAATTCTTTAAAAAAAAAGAATTTTTTATGGTACTACTTTTAATGTTTAATAAAATGGAACTTAGAAATAATGTGTTTTCAGTAGTAAAGTTTGGGTCAAGTAACTTATGATACATCCATATAGAATTCTTATATTACTGATAAAAATACTTTTTGAGGGCTGAAACATGGCCCAGTAGTTAAGAGTGCTTGCTATCTTTCCAGATGACCTAAGTTTGTTTCCCTGCACCCACACCAGGTAGCTCACAACTATAACTCCAGCTTTAGGAGATCCGCTGCCTCCTTCTGGCCTGTATGGGCACTTCATAGAGATGGTGTACATACAGACAATCAGGCACATATGTACACACATAAATAAAATAAAGTTTAACAAAGAGCTATAGAGACCCACAGCTGGACAACATACAGAGAGGGAGAGGTCCTAAATGGGATGTCTCTATAATATTCTCCCCCTTCACATGTAGCTCAGGGAAACCTGCAGAAGAGGGGGCAGAAATACTGTAAGAGCCAGAGGAGGTGGTGGACACCAAGGAAACAAGGCCTTCTAAACACAGCAGAATGGACACACATATGAACTCACAGAGACAGGCAGCATGCAAAAGGCTACACAGGTCCGGGGTCTCAGCACTGAGAATGGAGTGGAGGCAAGCCCATCCCTAACTCAGAAGCTGTCTCCCATTGATAACTACTTGCAAGTTTTCTCTAACGGAGTCTCACCGTGTCTAAAGACCACTCAAGGCCAGGGCCCATGCCCAATAGTAGATGATCAACACAAAACAAACTCAATGGTATTTGGGGGGGGGGTGTTTGTTTTTTGTCTCAAAATAACTTATCTAGGAATTTTTTTCTCATTTTCTTACCCTACAGGTCTTATACATCATGGTTCCCAATTTTCTGTTTTGTAGGGATTTCTGTGTGCCAATGTGTATGTTTATGTGTTTCTTGTGCATTTTCCTTGGCTCTTTTTCTGTTCATTTATTTGTTTTGTCCTATTCGATCTTATTTGTTCTTATTTTATTATTTTTTTCTTTAGATGCCCGTTTGTTTTCTAATGAAGGAGAGCAAGAAAGGATATGGACTTGGGTGGGGAGGTTCTGGGAGGAGTTGGGATATTTGGAACCATGATCAGAATATGCTGTAAGAAAAAAATCCATTTTCGATTAGGAAAGTAAAATTTAAGTACAATAGAGTTAAAAAAAAAAGAATAGAAGAAAAAAGAACAAGGAATACCATGTAACAAAATTCAAGCAGAATTTAGCACTGAAAAACTCATCTCATTCAGAGGCCTCATTTTTCTCTTTGGACATAGGAAGTTTCAGTCTTAAACCTAATTTTAAAATACTTTTATAAATTATTTTAGGCATTTAGCAGAATGCCATCCCATCTTTAAAACTGTTTACTTGACCTTTTTTAATCTTCTACTCTGCTTCTCCTGTTTACATGGCAACATAGTAATATTCTAGGCTCAAGTCTCAAAATGAGTAAAAAAGAATAAAGGATGTTCATAACCATCACCACGACCAAGTGAAGGTACAGGAGTATTTTGATTATTGTGTGCTTATACAAAGTACATAAATACCATAGTAGAGAGTAAATAAGAATATAAACATTATAGAAATTGATTTGAAAAATAAAATAGTCTACTAAGAAAGAAGTACTGATCGTGAAGATTTTTGTGTCCACCACTGCCACGTCAGAGTCCCTCATTTGTGCCACAAAAGCAAGGTGGCAGTGTGCCAACATCTGCATAGATGCTACAGTCATCACAGCGCTGGAGGGTGCGACAAGACCCAGGAAGAATGGGTTTGGGCCGGATGATCTTGTCTTGGTTGAGCTTGCATTGTTCAATACAGCTTTCAGCATCCTTTGCGATTCTTAAGAAAACACACACACAAAACGAGCTTAGAATTTTCCTTCCCAATGAGCTTCTTACAATCACGGGGGCTATGTGGGGAAGTCCAGGGCCGGAGCCCATCACACATGCGACACCAGCCTTGGGTTAAAGCTCTCTGCCCCTTTCCCATCCTTTCCTCTCCTACAATCGCTATGCATGTGAACCCAGGTTACCACTCCAAGCAAGGGAGGGTGAATGGCACCCCAGTGGCTGCTACAGGCCCATGAGATGTGGGAATGATGGAGAAGGTGCTACAGTTGGCTGGACTCAGCTCTGGCCTCCACCATCTAAGTCCCTAGGGAGGGACACCATTACTGCTGACAACCAGCCTCATACTTCAGGCTGTCCCTTCTCTCCCAGACTTCAAACATCTCTTGTCTGATTCCCATCCCTGTCAGCAGACCTCCATGGAGTCTCTATTCTCTGGGCCCACTAGGATTTTCCCACAGCCATTGAAATGAATGAGGGAACACGTGAACTTCCCAGTGAGTGGAAAGAGGTCACTATGGTCATACTCTGTCTGAGTAGGAGACAGCTCATCCCCAAGGCATCCTCTGCATGATCGTAAGAGGATGGAAAGGACACTCAGTCAGGGTCCTGTTAAACACACTCCCTGAGGCCAAGTGACAGAAAGCAATGTTGGCACACACAGTGTCCAGGCTGAGAGCAGTGGACTTGCAAGCTCACAACCCCCAAGCTAGAAGGAAGCCCTCAAGCTTCTGTCCCCACCTGCCCCCATCCTCTCACACCTGACAGTGGCCCTTGACTTTCCCCTCCAAGTGACCACTGCAGTAAGAAGTGACCCTGCTCCAGCAGAGGGCCCAGTGTCCCATTGGAGAAGTGGTGTTCACTCCTACTCACGTGACTTACTTTAGTGCCTTGGCTATTTTCATGTAAAGACAAAAGACAACGGATATCAGCATAATTGCAGTAATCAGCATACCGCTAGCGAGGCCCATCATAACCTTCGTCCTCAGGTCGAACATCTTCCACACCTGGCAGAGAAGTTCAGGCAGTGAAGGTGGCTTCATTTACAAATTAAACAGCCACCTGGCCACCGCCGCCCCACATAACATCCCCCGGTGAAGAAGAAAGGACCCCAACACAGATCTTTATGCATGTAAGCAGAAGGAACTCTGTCCAGGGAGGGCCATGCTGACCTCAAGTGAGTAGGAGGGTTTAATTTTGGTTGAAAAGACTCCGATGTAAAATCCAGATATCAGGAAATGGGGATGACAGTAGAAAGAGTATTTAATTTTTCATAGGCGGTGAGGAGTCCTTGTAGCATGAACCAGACTGCACTGGAGCCTCCTACATGCCTTCTGAACTGTGTTTAGTGAATCAGAACTGACTCAAATTCACTCCAGCAAGTACATTGAGTTAGATCTGTCTCATGGACTGAGAGAATGACTCTTCTAAACATTATTGCCCCAAACTGCTAAGAACGTACACACCTATTTTGAAAGTAGTTTTTTTAGTGGTGGTGAGGGGAACCCCACAAATAAACTATGTTATGCTATCTTAGGATTAAAAAGATTCTGAATACGTCCAGCCAACCCCTTCCTGAGGTTGAAACAGAGGCGTGCTCAGACCATGACCCAGCTTCCTCAGGAGTCTCTTGTGCCTCATTCTGTCTTCTAAGAGACTATGTGTCTCCCTACTAAACACTTAATCCTCCCACAGAGTCCCTTTTTCTGGAATAAGCAATATACTTAGTCTAATATCTAAAACTGGGGAGCAGAAAGCCCAGAGATGACAGAAAACAATCTGACTACAAAACATACTTACCAAAGTCAAGCCGTCCAACACTGAATTAAGGACAATTATTTAACACACACACACACACACACACACACACACACACACACACACACACACACACCTCAAAATAAACAGGAAAAAAAAGTTTCAAAAATAGGATGCTTCAGAAACCTGCAGCTTCTCAAACCTGTGATTTGAGAAAGAAGGATCTAAATGACCCTGTTAGAGCATTTAAGATACAGGCTGGTGTGCTCTGCTGCTGGAGGCCTAAGGTCTGGTAGGGCTGCTAGAATGCACCAGCTCCAAGCCAACCTGTGTGACATCAGCTCCCTTTCTGAGAATTCTGAATTCTGTCCCACATCTAGGCATATTTTAGCTCCAAGAAATATAAATACTATTTTGGGTCCCTTAAAACCTAACCTTTGAGAGTCTGCCAATCAAAAACTGGTTAACTGTTCCAATTATTTAAAAAGAGAATGATGGATCAAGGTTTTAAACACCCTTCTATTTGAAGCTGTAAATGACTGGCTGTGTTTCAGCTATACAGTGAAATAATGCTAAGCGAGTCACTAGGACTCAAGTCTACACTCAACAACACTGGCAGAGTCTCCTACCTCATGGTCAAACAGCTGCAAAAAAACGAAAGTTAAAGAGAATACCTATTTTAGCCAGGTTTGTATTGTATGTTTTTTTTTTTGGGGGGGGGTCAGTTTTTTTTTCAGTTCATTTTTTTTTTCTCTTTAAAATCTAAGGTGACCTAAGAGAAAGATCTGTACCTCGTACTGGGATTACTTTTGTTTGAGGCTTTATTCAGAAGTCAGATTCTTACCAGGAAGAATTATTTCTCTGATGAGTAAGTTCAGTTTCCAGCTGGATCAAGTTACCTGTGTCCCTTCCTTTTGAGTCTAATGTTCCACCTGTCATCTAAGGACATAGACATCCAAGTATGCATCTCGGCTGAAAGTAAAAATTATATGCAGTTTAAGAAAAATTTATGAGCCGGGCGGTGGTGGCGCACGCCTTTAATCCCAGCACTCGGGAGGCAGAGCCAGGCGGATCTCTGTGAGTTCGAGGCCAGCCTGGGCTACCAAGTGAGTCCCAGGAAAGGCGCAAAGCTACACAGAGAAACCCTGTCTCGAAAAACCAAAAAAAAAAAAAAAAAAAAAAAAGAAAAGAAAAATTTATGTATTATATAATTTAAAAATTATATCATGTATATAATATTTTTTTAAAAAAACCCAAAGCCCTATCTGAGACTCAAAACAACCTTTTAACTATCAACCCTATAAAATTAAAATATATATATACTTCTAACATACAATGGCAAAAACTATACATCTTTCCCACTTTCAGACTGGGCATCCAAGATCCACACTCTGTAGCTAGCCCACCCCTAACTCCAGGAAATACGGTAATGATCATTTGGATTCTTACTGTTGCTGGTGAGCTGTGGTTCTCTTTATTCACCTGTCTGTATGGGTTATGGACTGGCTCTCTGTCCTGACCTCCGTTCTCTAGCTGACTTCTGTAGAGCTGTTGATTTTCAGTTTGTTCAGCTTTGTGAGCAGAAGGATGACTTAAGCTCTTCACATATTTGGAGGAAAACCTGAAAGCCCTGGATTCATTTCTACCCACCTGTCCCTTTTTCTGAATAACCTCAGCTGGCCCATCTCCAAGTTCATGGATTCTTCTGTCTGCTCAAATTCAATATTGAGCTCCACTAGTGACATTTTCATTTTACTTATTATAGTTTCCAACTCTGTCATTTCTACCTGACTCTTCACAGTAGTTTTCTTTTTATTAATATTCTTTTTGATAACATACTTTATCTTAGTTCCTTAGACATGGCTTTCTTTGAACATATTTTAAAATGGCTGAATTAAATCTTTGGCTAAGTAGGATCAAAATTAGGATCTTTTCAATTAACATTTTGATTGATTGTTCTATCTTTTGTGGGTCCTATTTTACCATGCTTTACAGTCATTTTTGAAACTGGATGTCTTATTTTTTGTTTTTTTAAACATTTATTTATTATGTGTACAGTATGTCTGCAGGCCAGAAGACGGCACCAGATCTCATTATAGATGGTTGTGAGCCACCATGTGGTTGCTGGAAATTGTACTCAGGACCTCTGGAAGAGCAGCCAATGCTCTTAACCTCTAAGCCATCTCTCCAGCCCAGAAAACTAAATATTTAAAATGGTACAACATGGTGTCTTTGAAAATTAATCTTCTGTCTCTCAAGACTGCTATTGCTTCTTGTTGCAGTCATGTGGTTTCCTGAATGACTTTCCCCACTTGATTCTCTAATGTCTGTGTCCTTTGTTGTATGTGGACACTGATTTGCCCAGAGACAATTAATAATTAGGCAAAAATTTCCTTAAATTCCTGCAACAAGAACAATAACAAAAATCTCCCAGTCTTTGCTGAGGGGCTCAGGATAACTGTGAGCCATGCTTACAACACAGAGGCAAACAGCTGAGAACTATGTCTCAGGCCTCTCCTCTTTCTTAGGAAGAGCCTCTAACATCTTCCAGATGCAGTATCTTAAGACTAGCTCATACTTTTCTAGGTGTGTTTCTAGTCTTCTTAGGCACACAGCTTTAAATGGTGCATGATCTTCTAGACTCCCAGGAATATGTCAGAGCTTTCCAAAGTCCAGAGAGTTTGGGAATCTATTTGTCAAGTTCGAAGGAAACTCCATTTCCCCAAATTTCCAAAAGACAGAAAGGACAAATGGCTAGCTGTGGTGCCTATTAGCATATCAAAGCCCATGCTGCCCCAGGCTCCCTTGGTATCACAAGTACCTGTTATACATTTCAAAGTTCATGCTATCATCCTAGTTCTTCTTACCTCCTCCCCTACCCTAAACTCCCCCAGCCCACAGGCTTCTCTCCCCATAGCTACTCATTCTCCTTATGGCCCTGCTATTTCATCTATGCTCAATCTCTTTGTTGTCCTCTCTCCATCTCCCCCCTCTCCCTCTCTCTGCTCTCCCATGTTCTCCCTCTCTCTGTGTTCCCCTTTCTCTCTCTTCCTGCTCTGCTACTGCTTCTCTCATGGCCAGGTCCAATCTGTTGGCCATGTTCAGTCTACTTCTTTCTCTCTGCTCTGGACTCTTCTAGATGCCACTGGCTGTTCTCTCTCATCTACAATAAAAACCTTCTCCTTAATTATGCCATAGAGTGGTCATGTCATTAGTCTATACACTAGGTATAATTGTCACTCAGCTTTTCCTTTATTTTTTGTCAACTAGCTAGAGTCATCTGAGAAGAGGGACTATCAGTTGAGAAAATGCCTCCATCAAATTGGCCTGTAGGCAAGTCTGTAGGGGCATATTCTTATTAATGATTGATGTGGGAGGACCCATCCTACTGTGGACTGTGCCACCCACCAGCAGGTGGTCTTGAGTTTTATGAAAGAGCAAGCTGAGCGAGCCACGGGGAACAAGCAGGTAAGAAGTATTCTCCCATGGCCTCTGCTTCGGTTCCTGCCTCCAAGTTTATGCCTTGAGTTCCTTCCTTGGTTTCCCTTGATGATGGACTATAGCCTATAAGCTGAGTAAATTGCTTTTCTCTCTCAAGTTGCTTTTAGCCAATGTTTTATCACAGCAACAGGAAAGCAAACTAGGACAGTAGCCAAGGTTTTTCTTTTTCTTTTTTTTTTTTTCAATCAGGTTTATAGAACCAGGCATACATTCCTGCTGTGCAACAGACCTCCAATGTGATCAGAAAGTGGTGGTTACCTCCCTCCCTTTACCAGTCATGCCGCTAAGGCTCTAGTAGGCGTGTCTTGCCCTGCAGATTTGTATTGTAGTATGCAGGTTCAGTGATCTCTTTTCTACACCAGAGGCCCACAAAACACCTTCTGGAGCTTGCAAGCTACCCAGCAGGAGGAAAGTTTCCCTGTCAGTTCCAGCTTGATTTCTCTATGTCCTGCAACCAAAGCATGTGGTTTCTTCAGCTGCAGAGTTTTGCCATCCAGTTACAGTGGCCAACCAAGAGTGTGTCTCTTTGACTAAATAGTCCATGCCCAGCATCGAGACTTTTCATTTAGTAAAATGAGCATTTTAAGACATTGGATTCCTCGCCTTATTTTTTGTTTGTTTGTTTTGCAACCCCAAATTTACTTTTGATTAGCAGTCAAATTCTAAGTTTCTCTGGGAGAAATAAAATCTGAAGAGGAAAACCAAGAGTTACACGTGTTCCGATGTGTTTGGGAAATCTGTGCTGAGGTTTATTTGAGCATGGAATGGAATTCAGAACTCTGGGAAAGAAAGCCAGTCTCCAGAGAGCTGATGTCACACAGATGTGTCCCAGACTAGGGAGATGTAAGAGCTAACAATGGCTGTCCGTTCCAGCAGGCCACACTTCTGAAAGTAAGTTCTTCAAACTTAGACTTCAGTAATTACAATTTTCTTTCTGTTTTAAGTAACATTTTTATTCTTTGAAAATTTCACATGTCGCATATGTATACAATGTATCTTGATCATATCACCCTTCCCCCCTCACTGCCCCAGAAAGCTTCCTGATATCTCTTTCCTACTTTTACATCATCTTATAATTTTTTTTATAATATACTGAGTCCAATAAGTGCTGCCAATACGCACATGGGAGTGGAACCGTCCACTATGGCATAGACAAGTTCTTAGTGGAAGAAAATGGAGTCTTCCTCTCCCAACAACCCCCAATAGGCTGCCTAGGGGTGGGGCCTCAGGAGGCCCTCCCCTATATATGCTGAAATTTTAATTGACCTGATCTTTTGTAGGTAATCGCAGCTGCTCTGAACCATGGCCTGGAGAAAGCATGACACAGCACTCCTCACTCCACACCCTTTGGCTCTTACATTCTTTCTGGCCCCTCTTCCACAGTGTTTCCTGAGCCTTAGTGTCAGAGATCTAAGGCTGATAACATATGTCTCATTTATGCCTTAGTATTCACAGTCAGGTAATCTTAGCACTTTGACCAGATATGAGTCCTGCCCACTGCAAAAACAAGCTTCTCTGACCAAAGCTGAGACCAGCATTGACCTACCAGTATAAACATAAATATTAAAAGGCAGTTTGACAACATGACTGTGTAGCAAAATATGAGTAGTGGGTTCCCTCCTAAAGCCCATGACCTCCCCAGCCAAGGTTTTTGACCAGGATTTAATTAGCCAACATGAATTTCCTCTTGTGCAGCAGCCCTCAAATCAATCAGAAAGTAATTGGTTACACCTCCCCCAGCCCAGCCCATACACCATTCACGCCACTATTGAGTACCTACTGCCTGGCAGGTTAGTATTTAGTATGAGGGTCCAGCACTGAGTAAGACCTCTGGTCCCTTTTCCCCCACTAGCAGCCTGCACAATACCTTCTGGCACTAAGAAAACTAGTCATCAGGAGAGAGTTTCCTGGTCAGTTTGAGACTGATTTCTCTGTCCTGCAACCAAAGTGTGTGGTGTCTTCAGCAATAAGGCCTTACCATCTAGTTATGGTGGGCAACAAAGAGCATTGACAATACCTTGTGTTTTCTTGGGTCCTCCCTAACCAGTAACTCTTGGGAAGTTAACCCACACTTAGCATTGTTTTCCAAGGTTTAGTTTGGTTGTCTAACTGTATTTCTAAAAATGTTGGCTTTTATCCAGCATTGAGAAGAATTAGAAAGCTGTACGTGGGCTTTGGTGTCCAGAGAGTCTATTTCCCTAGTTCGCTTTTCCTCTGAGAGTGTCAGAGTTAAGTTTAAAGAACTTGAGTATTCCAAATGAGAAATGTTGAAGATGTGGGTCTTAGAAGGACAGCAGGAGCTTTCAATACTTGAATCACCCACCCCAGTCCACTCCTGCCTCCCATAACACCCACTATTTGCAAAATAGATGTTCAGGTTCTCAAATTCCTCAAGTTATGGCTTAGAAGTAGTCTTTCCTCTACAAGACCTCTGAAGCTGGCACTCAGGGTGGGGTTGGTTGTGACTCTGAACTCAAGCATAACTCAGGAGGCCCAGGCATGTGGGAAACAGGCACCCACTAGCTCCAGGGTGGGCCCTTCTGTTATTTGAGGGTCTATTAATTTCTGCCTGTCTGCCTTTCCACTGCTTTTCCTTTAGCTCTCTTGCCTCAAGATTTTACATTTGAATCTCCTTTTACATGGAAAATTTCCCTCCTACCTACTTTGGGCCCAGTAAGACCTCTCTGGAAAGAGTCCCTCTGGTTTACATGTAATCTGTGTTTGAGGTCCATCTCCCCTTCACTGAGAGAAGTATGTGGGGGCTGCTAATGACTATGTATGAGGGAGCCCACATTCACTGCTTGTCTACACTTCTCTGCCCAGGTATGTCTAGGTCTTTTGACCTCCGAACAATAATCATGATCACCATTGGTGGTGGGATCCTGGCAGGCATGTTTCTACTGATAGGAGTTGTCCTCTGTCTTTACACCAAAATAGCCAAGGCACTGAATTCAACTAGGTAAGAATGAACAATACCGCTATCTAATGGGACACTGGGCCCTCTGCCGGAGCAGGTCACTTCTTACTGCAGTGGTCACTTGGAGGGGAAAGTGACTTGGAGGGGAAAGGGCCACTGTCAGGTGTGAGAGGATGGGGGCAGCTGGGGACAGAAGCTTGAGGGCTTCTTTCTTGCTTGGGGGTTGTGAGCTTACAAGTCCACTGCTCTCAGCCTGGACACCGTGTGTGCCAACATTGCTTTCTGTCACTTGGCCTCAGGGAGTGTGCCTTCAGGTGTTTAACAGGACCCTAACTGAGCATCTTTTCCATCCTCAGCACTGTAGACTGGAGAACCCACAGAGGATGCCTTGGGGATGAGCTGTCTCCTACTCAGACAGAGTATGACCATAGTGACCTCTTACCGCTCACTGGGAAGTTCACGTGTTCCCTCATTCATTTCAATGGCTGTGGGAAAATCCAAGTGGGCCAAGAGAATAGAGACTCCATGGAGGACTGCTGACAGGCATGGCAATCAGACAAGAGATGTTTGAAGTCTGGGAGAGAGGGGACAGCCTGAAGTATGAGGCTGGTTGTCAGCAGTAATGGTGTCCCTCCCTAGGGACTTAGGTGGTGGAGGCCAGAGCTGAGTCCAGCCAACTGTAGCACCTTCTCCATCATTCCCACATCTCATGGGCCTGTAGCAGCCACTGGGGTGCCATTCACCCTCCCTTGCTTGGAGTGGTAACCTGGGTTCACATGCATAGCGATTGTAGGAGAGGAAAGGATGGGAAAGGGGCAGAGAGCTTTAACCCAAGGCTGGTGTCGCATGTGTGATGGGCTCCGGCCCTGGACTTCCCCACATAGCCCCCGTGATTGTAAGAAGCTCATTGGGAAGGAAAATTCTAAGCTCGTTTTGTGTGTGTCTTTTAAGAACTTCAAAGGAAGCAGGTGCTGTAAGCGATACTGATCCAAGCAATCCAGGCAAGGTCACCTTTGACAAGATCGTCCGGCCCAAACCCATCGCAGCAGAGTCTTGCCCCACCTTCCAGTGCTGTGATGACTACAGCATGTACGCAGATATTGGCACCCTGCCGCCTTGCTTTTGTAGCATAAGTGAAGGACTCTGACACTGCAGTGGTGGATAAAAAGAAATCCTCATGATCAGTATTTCAATTTCTTAATAGAATATTTTCTTATTCGAGCCAATTTCTATAGTGTTGATGTCATTGTGTACTATCTAACATGATATTTATGTACTTTTGTATAAATGTACAATAATGAAAACAGTCTCTGTCTCTATTATGTTTCTTAGTTATACTTCTTATGCCAATATGCACTATGAGATTTGGGCAAGCAGGCATGTAACATGTTTTGGTAAAAATAGGAAAAAGAATAGAAAACAAAAGTGCCCTGCCCTTTTCCAGTCCTGGAAGGAAAAGGTAAGTTAATTTCAGGGCACTTCTAACTTGAGCAGCAGTTAAGTGTGGGAAGCTGGGGTTATGGGAGTGGTTCTGAGAGATTGTTCCTCCTCAGCCCAGATTGTCAAAGGTTCTGACAGGGGCATCACTCACTGGGAGAGAATGAATACATCGCGGTGGGGTATCTCTCAGTTGACCTTGTCTGACGTTTAATGATGGATTGATCTTTGTGGCTTCTAAAGAAAGGGAATGTGGAACATAATGACGCCCACCTGCAATTCCACCTGGCAGGTGGAGGCAGGAGGATCTTGTGTTCAAGGTCACCGTCAACTACACTGAGTTTCAGCCAATCTGGGTTACATTAGACCCTTCTTCAGAAAAGAGAGATGGTATGTGTGCTAGCAGGAGCAGGCAAACCTGAGATTTCTCCCACTGCTGACCAGCCAGATTACACATCTGTTCAGAAGTAGGTGGCCCCTTTTGATCACTTTTACACTGGCCAGCAACAAAAATCAACTATACCAAAAGCCTGTAACCCAAGACAGAAGCCCAGGTTCCCTTCCTCACAGCACTGGCAAGAGGATGGACCTCCAACATGTCTGTTCTTTCTATGGGTGCTCCTGCAGCCCCTTCTAGCACAGATGTCTCGCCTGTCATCACCATGAATTTCCTCTCCTTAGCTAGGCATGTGAGCACCACAGATATAGTTAATATAAAGAGCTATTAACTAGTGACGGGCTGCCACCTACTAAAGGGGAATTTAAAAAAAAAGAGTGGAAAAGGAAATGCAGAGAGCCTCTGCTTCCTAGGGATGGAAAGAATGTGGAGGATGCAGCAGGGGACCTTGCTGCCCTCCGGGAACCACACTGGCATGCCTGCTCTCAGACACTGAACACTCTAAGTCCACCTCTGTAGTGGGTTCCCCAGGGGCACCGCCCCAAGATTCTCTAGGTGAAATAATCTGTCTCTCTTGAGTTTCCAGAACACCGCCTTCATCCCTTACTTAGCTTTGATTCTTTTGTCTACCAGCAAGGTCCTAGTGAATGGAGAACAGTTGAGTTCCTTCTTACCTCATCCAGTGGGCAGCTGAGTACCTGATATGGGGAGGCCTGTGGCAGCTTGTCCTCACCTGAGGGACTAGGTCTAGTTTGGGTATTAGAAGGGACATGAGGCAGGTGGGAAAGGGAATATGGGGGATTTTCATGGTAGGCAGTAGGTCAGAGCACTCACAGGGGTTTTAGAACCAATGGATTCAGATTACATCTTAACTTGGCCTGCACATTGGGAAGCCCCAAGACCTCTCCCAGCCATCAGTTACTTTAATTTAGAGTGGGACTTGTGTAGGGACCATCAGTGAGAGGAGGTCTTCCATGCTCACAGAGATCCTGACTCATGGCAATGACACAAAGCAGGCTTCCTGCCTACTTGGACCCCAGGTGTTCTTCTTCTTCCAGGGTGACTACAAAGCCTTCACACACAGTGTTGCTCAGGGACAGGGGAAGGAGGAGAGTCTAGTCATGGGAAGAAGGAGTGATTGAGGCACAACCCAGAATGGGGTGATTATGTACAGACATAGCTGACTGTGAAGAGTTCCTAATAACTAGAAGGGTCCACACACAGGTATCCCACCCACTACCCCACATAAATACTATGTCCATGTCTCTTATGTAGCTCCTTGTGTAGACAGGAGTCCCGCAGAGCTGTGTAGGGATCTGGGGAGTTTCCAAGCTCCTTGTGAAAGCCGCTCCTCAGTGCCAGCGGGGTCATCTTGCTGCTGTAGTACAGGGTATGGGGGTAACACCTGACCCAGAGCTGACCAGGAATGGATTCCTTGGGGGCACAGTTGAGGATTATCCTCTCCCCAAGTCACAGTTCAGGACTGAATGAGGAAACCTGGACTTCAGAGAATCTTGAGCAACATAGAAGAGTGGAGGCGTACAGGAAGATTCCAGGTGATCCTGCCTCATCTTGACCTCCAAGGGCTTCTGGATGATTCCTAATGTCTTAGCTACTTTTCTATTGCTGTGGTATGACACCACGACCGAGGGAACTTATAGAAGAGAGAATTTATTTGGGCTTACAGTTCCAGAGGGGGAGTTGATGACCACCATGGTAGGGATCATGGCTGCAGGCAGGCAGGCAGGTATGGCCCTGAAGCAGTAGCTGATAGCTTGTATGTGATCCACAAGCAGAGGGCAGACAGAGCTAACTGGGAATGGTGGGAGTGAGCTTTTAAAACCCCAAAGCCCACCCCCAATGACACACCTCTTACAACAAGGCTACACCTCCTCATCCTTCCTAAACAGTTCTATCAAGTGGAGACCAAGAATTCAAATACATGAGCCTTATGAGGACATTCTCATTTAAACCACCATACCTAGAAGTGGCCATTCACTAAAAAGTTCCATGTGAAGTTAGAACAAGATTGAGTTTCTCTCTACCATAAAGATTTGTCTCCATCAACTATTGCCTGGACTTTCCTCCATCTCTCTTCCCCTTTCCCTCTCCTTTACACATAATCAGATTAGAGAAGTTCCTGCCCCAGGACCTTTACACGTGCACTTATATCTTAAAGAAATCCCTCAAATAAGATAAATGATTATCTTTCTGTATTTGCTTCCATTTCATCTTCTCAAGATGCCTCTCCTTTTCCTTAATTGGCATCCTTTCCCACCTAAGTTTGCCACAGTTTATCCGATCACCCCATTAGAGCACAGTTAACACACTTGCTCCTATATGTATTTTTAATTTGTTATCTATTTCCCCCACTTAGAATGCAGGTTCCATAAGAGTAAAATCTATGTGTCTTGTGCTCAGTTCTGTATCCCACCACCTAGGACAGTGAACAATGAAAACTTGCTCAGTGAATAAATGAAAGGCAAATGGATGAATGAATGAATGAATGAATGAATGAATGGGCAACCCCTTTCATACACACACTCTTCTTCCTAGTCTCATGTGGACACTGCGAGTCCTGTCTCCAAGTTGCAAGCTCATGCCTGAGGGACTCGACTCCACCCACTTTATCCTCTTCAGAGGGACAGGGTCAGCAATCTTTGCAGGGAGGCCTGACCTGCGTTGTGTTTTCCTCCCCATCCTTTGTCCCTCTCCTACCCCTCAGATCAGCCTCCTGTAGGCATCTGAGGACCCAACTGGGCCCAGAGTTTGCCAGGTACCATGTTATCCTCTAGCCTGATGAGCTTCGGACCCCAACGACTTCCATTCCTGGAGAAGTCATGGCCTCAAGCCAATGGTGCCACCTCCCTCGTGATCTGCACAGGTGGGGCCAAGGCTCAAGCGCCGATCAACCCCAAGGCCAGAGGGACGGCTGTGTGGCTGCTGCTCCCCGTGCAGAACTGGGCTGGCTGGCCCACAGCCCTTTGAGAAGTGACGCGGAAGAATGAGGGCCATGCGGGAGACTGCTGGCCAGGATGCAGCCCACAGCTGTGGGGTTCTCACCAGCATCACCCCCAGCGTGGCCAAACTGACACGTTTCCCGAGATGCCAGGAAGCTTATGAAACTCAGAGAAATATAAAAGCCTGCAGGCTCCGAGGCACCCTGCAAAGATGGAGGTCACTGGAAGGTTGTTCATTTGGGCCGTTTTAGCCGCCTCCTGTGGGGCACAGCTGAATTCCATGGTGGCTGAAGGTAAGAAAATTGAACCACATTCTTCAACTCAAACATGGAAGACCTGCTTTTACCAGGCTTCTTCCCAAACTTACAAAGCTTTCATATCTGCTGCTGCTCTCAGTACAGAGAATAACTCACCTCGGTGCTCTCTGGAGGACTTCTGTTTCAGTGGTCATTTCCTTAAGGCCCAAGTGGCCATGTTCATTGAAATAGAAAAGGCACACACAGTTTCACCATGTCATTTCACTTTTAACAGCATATCTTAGGAAAAGAATCCTAAAGCTATATACCTACATGAATAGATATTGACATTTTTTTTTAAATGTGAGTTTTAGTTGCTGATTTTTTTAAGGGTAAGTCAATACAGAGACTTACTCTTGTAAATTCTAAAAGATTACATATACAAGAAAGGGTCTCTATTAAGAGGGAAAACGTTTACAATTTTACAATATGATAGTGCTTATGTCTAGAACAACACATGGCACATTTTTAGAATGGAAAAGAGGGAAGAAAGGAAAGAACTGGGGAATTCACATCAGAGTTTTAAGGAGGATGCTGATCCTGGGTGGGTGGGGTTGTGCTGCCTTTTTCAGTTACCCTTGTTTTCCTTTCCCTGACAAATGTAGCACTAGTTATTGTTAGGTAAACACAGAAATGGCATTCGTCAGTCACAGGTGAAAGAGAACGGAAGAAAGTTTGTTTCTAAATACATAGGGGTTTGGATCATCAGTCTCTCTTGGAAAATGTATCTATTTTTGTCTTTGCTGGTGTGTGAGTGCATTTGTGCGTGCGTGCGTGCGTGCGTGCGTGCGTGCGTGCGTGCGTGCGTGTGTGTGTGTGTGTGTGTGTGTGTGTGTGTGTGTTTTCATGAGGTAGGGTCTTACTACAAATCCCAGGCTGCCTTTTTGCATGGGAGCCTCCTTCCTTAGCCTTCCAAATGCTGCAGTTACAAGTATATGCCTCCATACCTTGCTTTCCCCATTTTTTCACTGGGTTCTCTTATTTTTTTCTTTTTATATTTATTTGTCATATGTGCTCAAGCACATGTGTCCTCACACATTACAGTGCTCAAGTGACGTTCAGAGGACAACTCCCAGCAGCTTTTTTTCTCCTTCTACCATGCGGGTCCTGGGGATTAGATTTGGGTTGTCACCTTTGGCAACAAGCTCCTTTACCCCATTGAACCATCTCATTGGCTTCATTTTCCTTTTTTTTCTCTAATAATTTTTATTATATA